AATTTTATTTCAGGCGCAAGTGATTAAGAGCTGAGACACAAACAAGAGAGGAGCAGTGTCTACCTCCATCGGTGCTAGGAGGATTGAAAGTAATAATGCCTGTTTTTACACCTCTGAGCCTTTTCAGCACTGATTCCTCTTCCTAAAATTCTCTCCTTACCCATGTAAACCCCAAGAACTCCTTTTATCTCATGTTGAGCACTGGAATGTTCTGTGACCTCTCTTGGTGGACTTGAGTGCTTTTTCATGACTTAGACCTTTGTACCTAACAATATTATTATGACATCTATCACAGAACTCTCAGTAATTGTTCATTTGTCTTCCCGATAGACTGAAAAAGCCTGGGGCTTTTATTAATCTTGGATTAGCCTCCTTGGTACCAGGCTTTTGTTAGGCTCTTAATTAATGTTGATTCAACCAGTAAATGACAATACTGGCAGAGGCCAGTGACTTCTGAACAGAAGGAAAGTGCATTTCCGCTGATTAAGACACCAAGATGAGAAGGACATTCTTGAAAATATTTTATACACGTTTTCAATGTTTTACTTTGAAATAGTTGCAGACTTAGAGAAAGGTTATGAAAAGAGTGCAAAAAATGTCTGTATAAGCCTTTATCCAGAATCTCCTAAATGTTAGCATTGTACTTTGTCTTATCATCGTGTCTGTTTGATTCCTTTTTCCTCTCTTCTCTCTTTTATGCTTGTGTGCACGTTGTCTTTTCTGAGCAGTTTGAAAGTAAAGTCATTGTTTTATATAACCAAAGTAGTTATTAAAATCAGAAAATTAAAGTGGATGCAGTACTATATTTCTTTGCTGTTGTTCCCTAACCTGGGACTCAAGCAGGTATCTGCTTGCTTTCACTACTGTCAAGGTACTATTTTTGCCCCAAATTAACAAGTTTATTGAGGTCAGATAGTCTAACAACATGTAAGTATCTGTCCTAAATTAAAAAAAAATAATTTTATTGGGGGCTCATACAACTCATCACAATCTATATTATACATCAATTGTGTAAAGCACATTTGTACATTCGTTGCCCTCACCATTCTCAAAACATTTG